ATGCGATATAATTTTGGCTTGGACCATCTAAGCTGGCTGACATCAACTTGCTATAATTTCTGTTTACATTACATCGCAATTCGATGACACTCTGGCTCAGACACCAGAATGTTTTGACGATTTTTAGCATTCGTTTAGGATTTTCAAACAACTGGTCTCTTTTAAAATACTTTTAATTTGTTCTTACGTGGTTTTCCAGATGTAGTGACGACAACATTAAAGTTTAAAGAAGAAAATTCTAACATTTAAACCGACTAAACAATAACATAGTAAACTTGCATAATTAAACAGCAACTAAAAATGACAGGTTTTACTAAATCTTTTCCTGTTCAATTATTACTAGCATTGGAGACAAGGATAATAGTTTGTTTGAAAGAGAAAAGAACAGGCTTTAAAGTAAGCCTAAAAGCGTTTAACTAGAAATAGTATTTCGAAAGTTATTAAGCACAAAAGATGAATTGCGTTTATTTTGATACACCCTGTAGTTAGGCTAATTGTAGTTGGAAAAATTTTAGTTTGTTTTCGAAGAGTTGAAAATTAGTAGCTAGATTGTTAGTTCAATAGGTAATGAGTAATTATGAGCTAGTCCATTCCGACATTGAGTGATATACAAAATTGTTGTTTTCCCCAATTTGTACGTGAGCGTGGGAGGTTATAGAACGGGGAAAGTGAATCGTTTCCCTCCTGCAGGTACGGTAAACCTACTAAACCCTAACATTTATTCTCATACAGTTCTTCGTTCCCCCAAATTTAAAAGGTTCATTCTTTATCGCCTGATATATCAGTGACCATCAGTGAAGTTTGATATATACCTTGATTACTTATCAACAGTTCTTATATATAGAAACCATATGAGTTTGACATGCATTTGTGTGGAGTCTATGGACTATTGTGCTAGATTGGCAGTTAGTGTGGGACCAGAAATGTCTGTTAATAAGACATCACCAACCCTTATCATACGAGGAACATGAGTTTTAGCAGAACGTGTGAAATTATGAGATTGTTTGACACACCGGCTTTAATGAGGTCATATATACGTCTAGTTGTATAGGAAGGCTCTTAAACGGACTCTGAGGGAGACAAATACCAGATTACGGTTGATTGACAGAAAGAAAATCATTTGTACATTGTCATTGTATCTTGTTTACGAATTACGGTCTGGTCTGAAACGTGGGAAAAATATTTTTAAAGAATATTTTGCATCTTCATTTAAAAGCGGGATAATATAGATGCGCAATAGCTTGAACCTCTCAGATGAACTTTTGCATAAGTTTTCGGGAGGTCACTTGGTAGTTTGCCCGAACATTTCACTAACGCCCATTATAAACATATACTAGGCACTCCCACGCACGACCACTTTAAGTGCAAAGGAAAATTTATGTTTTTAAAAAGAATAACTTCCATCGACATTGCTGTACCTAATATGGTAATTACTGCATGTATAAGAAATAAAACGGTATAAAAATCTGGTTTTATTACTGATGAATTGAATTTAAAATCGATATTTATGGTGTTCATTTTGTGATAAAAATGTACTAATGTACGAAAAAGGGATTCTGTATGTCAACTTGACCTTTGTCTTCAGTGTCCTAATTCTCCGAATCATCTAAAATGGATGTCTGGAGCGACATAAATTAAGATTTCGACTAAATTGAATTGTATGATTACGCATGTTGTGTGTTGGTGGTTTTATGCTGAAACACACGTGGTACGCCACTCGAATTGCTGACAGATTACTATATCTGCTATACTGATAACGGATAAGAAGAACTATGTATAACTACAAAAGCCAGAACCAGTCGGCAATTTAAGGAAATAAAGTATAAAACCAAAACCAAAAAATGGAAACATCTTGAAAATATGGACCAAATTAACATCTTATTTTACTCCGTATCTAGGTTTCCACGATTTTTCGGTTTTTATTTTATACTTTATAACTCTAAAGGAATTCTATTCAAACATCACATTTACAATTTTACATGCCATTAATAGAATTGAGAAAGCAAATATTGTTTATAATCATAAAGCTAATTTTAAAGTTTCATGCAAATTTAAGTTGAAGGGTTTTCTAGATGGAAATTATCAAGTGTAAATTTTATATACATTTATATGCGAACATGCCCTGCGATTCCGGTGCAGCCCTCCAACCAACTGAGCTCCAGAGTCTAGTTATCGAGCTCCAACCACAAGTTGATGTAGTATACTAGGGTACTGCCATGTTAGGTTATGGGTAAATATCAAGATTTTGTTGGCATCTCACTCGAGACGTATTTCAACGATGATAATAATACTGATATTTACGAAATTGCAGATGGATTCAGCAAAACCTACAATTCATATACGATAGACCAAAATTATTTTGGGATATCGTGATCACCGACCTATAGAAGAATCTATTATAACGTAATTCAATGCATGGGGTAAACGATAGAGGAGTGGCTGGTCTCCGCTCATTAACTCCACATGAAATCAAGTTCCCACGTTTGTCTGCGCTGGAACACATGGAAATAATTGGATCAGACGGGACGATTAATTTTCTATGTTTAAATTACCTATATGGGAAATATCAATGTCACATTTCAACAAAAATGGTTGACTAAAGGGATGCCCCATGTCAGTTATCATCACGAGTCGACCAACGTTTGTTTGTAGATTTTCCAAAGTGACTAAGCGTAAAAAACTGGACTTGAACATACATTTTTACCCGTCCTTATCTTTCTCTGCGTACCTTCTTGCGCCTTGACGAAATTTATTTTTATTATTATATTTATTAGCTTGGAGTCCGCGACAGTGCGAACAAATTACTAACATAAAATCACAAATCCCCCCAGAGAGAATAATTTAACTAATTTTATATTGTTTTTTATAAATTAGTAAGCCAAATGGCGCTTGGATCAGAATGTATGATTCCGTGTATATGGCAGCCATGAGCATGCATCTATAAACTGATATGAGCTTGAATGCATTGATATTTGACGTATAGGTATTACTGCCCCCCCCCCCCCTCTGCTGAAAAAATCCTGGTACGGCCCTGATTTATATATTACTATAATCGTTTTAAAATGTAGACCAATTTGTCCATTAAATTTATTTGAAAAATGAAAATATCGCTGTCTCTGCAGTTTTCACAATCCAGGCGGCCAACATGCTTGGTTAATGACGCTTTAACGCTTTATATGCATGCATGTCATGCATGAACATTGTCATTGATATGGTTTGAGGGGGAAAATTTGCTCATCTTTGCTAGGGAATAAGATGGGTGCAAAGCAGGTCTATATAGTTCGTCAGTCTAGATCTATAATTGTCCGAACTATCCACACTAATTTTCCCAAGGATTTGTAAGCTGAATTAGGACTTTTTCACGGTCGAATTTAATATTTAACAATAGACAACTTGCATGCAGGGACGTAGCGACCGGGGTGTGGTGGGGTGTAAATCCCCCCAACTGCATGTGAAACTCAGGTAAAATTCAAGTTAAAACTTTGACATTTCAGGTAAAATTTGCGTAATAAAGTAATTATTTTTGTGAAATGATAACCATTTTTGTAAAATACAGTCAATTTACATCCAATTTGAGTTTGCGAATTTGCTTTAGAAACGGCCAGAAATGCAGTCTTAGAGCTTCAAAAATGGGGGAGGAGCCCCTTTTATTCCGAAACTTAGTATGACAGTGCAAATCAATCACAAAAAGCTTTATTATAATTATTACGCTTCAGGTAAATTTTTAACATTAAAATTCAAATTTCAGATAAAATCTTCCGACACCCCCACCAACTACCGAGATGCTTTGCTACGTCCCTGCTTGCATGTTAGACTAATTTTTTATCTAGGCAAAAAAAGTAAATTATCGTAAAGAACTTATTAAAATTAGTAAAATTGAAAAATTTGGTTACGAAATATTGTAAAATACGGAAAATATAGCCTTGCAAAGTTTGCATATTTTGTATATGTTTGTATTACGTACGGAAATTATTACCATTTTTGAGCCGAAAATGGTAACAATTTCCGCACGTAATACAAACATATACAAAATCTGCAAACTTTGCAACAAGCCAGCTTTACAACATTTCGCAACCATATTTTGCAATTTTACTAATATCATTATGTTCTTTTTAGCTGTGGTGTTTGATCCCCTTCTCTTTACTTAGATTAAAATTTAGTCTAACATGCAAGTTGTCCATTGTGTGCTAAATTTTGATTCCTTATTTAGTTATTTAAAGCATAATGATGAATATGTTTTTTGAAATATTTGTATACGGTTGAACAGTCAAGTGAATGATTTTACAGCTAATTCAAAAAAGGTTGTCCTTTGAAAACCTTAAACTCTAAACCTTAAACTCTAAGTGTGCAAAGCATAATGGGGGCATCATTTAACCAGTTTAGAAATCAGGGGCCCATTTCTTAGAGACATCGTAAATATCTCCTTACGAGAACAATTCATTCATAAATAGCTGCAATATTCAACTACTAAGCTTGAAATTTGTGCTCCCATTAAGCTTTGTGCGCTTAGAGTTTAAGGTTCAAGGTTTAGAGTTTAAGGTTTGGAAAGGACAACCTTTATTGAATTAGCTGTATATAATTATCAAATTGTTTATATGTGATCGCCACGGTGCCTTTGCTAAACAAAACAAACGACCAATAGGCAATACACAGCATAATTATATAAAGTATCGCCTATATTTTCACGGCTTGTATATACCCGTATTGAAAGCTAAAGTTTTATAAAGCCTTGTAATTTTTGAAACTGAAATTCAGATATTTTAATTTGAGGTGAAAATTTGCTTGCTAGAATAGCATATGATCGTGTTCATGTGCATGCATGCATTGTATGAAATATTTTAATTTTGAATTATTGCCGCAGTTATTAGTGAAAATGAACTATAATACCAAACGGTAACTGGATCGGAATATATATAGTTTTTCTTAAACAATTTATAAGTTGTTTTCAGAACTTTTAAAACATTCACCGTGGTCAACTATCTTTTTAAGAAGGTTTTAGTTTACAAAATTTCAGTAGATTTCAGTAGATTTACCTCCAAAATATGTCTCTTGTTATTCCTAGGGTCGTTCCCAACATGGACTGAGAATAATGGCCCGCCTGCGGATGCATATTTCTTCTGCACCTTGAGCAAGGTTTGTCTTAAATCCCAGTTCTTTTCATCCCAATGTTTAGAATCAAATAGTTTAGAAGAACCAACATCACGAATCAAGTCTACCAAAGGCTTCGCACCCAGATGGTCGATGCTCTTCAGGTCCATACAAGATTTATAAAAGGTTTTTGCCTTTTTGGTATACTCATTGTCGTACTTTCCTGTCTTATCTTCAATAATTTTCCTCAAAGCTTTCTCTACACGACTGTTGAGCTTAGCAAAGGTTGAAAAGCTTGAAGATGTTTTTGGGATAGGATTCCTTTTTATCCAACCGCCACATGTAAATTTATAAAAATTCGAACAAGGATCAACTGAAGTGTTCATTGATCTTTTCACGTATTTCGCAATGTCTTTGCATTCTTGAGTTTTACAAACTGTTGTTTTTTGAGAAGGAATAGTGAAAGAAAGAGAACGCCGTATTGCACCGCCAGTGGTTATAAGATCATCATATTTCGTGTCTTTCTTGCTTCCAGTAAACACACGTACTATACAAACTAATAGAACCAACGATAAAATAAATGTGACTGTGTAAGTCCTTTTATCTAACGACAAACGTTGATTAGACATTATATTAAAGATTTCCCTAGAGAAATAAATCCATGTTGACTATAAAAGTTTTGTTTATTAATATTTGGTATGGTTCGTTGGACTCACTCGATAAGGTTGTTAAGCAATATTAAAGCAAAGCGGGTAATAATTACGTCATTGTTCAAAGAACCTGTTTTTCCAAGTTTGATCATTGCTTGATAAAGCATAGATATACTGCTTTAAAGATTTAAGTGAGAGCAGTCTTAATAGTGAATAGTTTACACTAGAATTACACATTGAAATGTTATTGTGTGAAATATTGCATGGAAAAAACTCTGACTTGTTTTAGAGGAAAGCCAAAGTCAAATATAATGCTGGATAAAAACATATATATAATACAACTCACGCCAATGAATTGGAAACGTTGCTCGGGTTTATAAACTATAGCTAGTTTTGGGGGGTATGACTAAAGGGAGAGTTACCAACCGGAGAGTTATGATTTCGGAGAGTTATGTTCAAACCACGCCCACTTTCCCCAATGACCACACCCAATTTCGTAACTCTCCCGACGTTTCCTTGAAGTAACATGAGAGAGTTATGTTTGACGTAACTCTCTCTCGTTAACATTATGAAGTGTTAGAGAGCTATCATTTTTTATACTGTAACTCTCCGCGTTCACGATTGTGGCAATGAAGAGAGTTATGTCAGTTTTTTGAGAAAACCTTTAAATAGTAAAGCTTGTTTCTTCAGATTTTCATCTTATATTTTGGTATTTCAGTTTGTAGCGTGTCAATAGCGTGCGTCCACTTCATAACTCTCCGTTTAGCCGGTCCCACCTAGCCTGCGCGCAGACGGGACCGGCTAAACGGAGAGTTATGAAGTGGAGAGTTATCTCTGAGAGTTATGATTTCGGAGAGTTATGTTCGAACCACGCCCACTTTTCCCAATGACCACACCCAATTTCTTAACTCTCCCGATGTTTCCTTGAACTAACATGAGAGAGTTATGTTTGACGTAACTCTCTCTCGTTAACATTATGAAGATGTTAGAGAGTTTCATTTTTTATAACTCACCGCGTTCACGATTGTGGCAATGAAGAGAGTTATATCAGTTTTTTTCTTCCACATTTTAGTAAATTATTGTGAATTTACTTTTTTCTCAAGTTTCAGCTTTAATATTCCACGCTAGTAGAAACTAGTAGTACTTTAGTACTTACCAAGTGAAGCGAGTACGAGTAAAATCAACCAGGAACCAAATCGTGAAGGAAACATGGGAAAATAACCTTCATGTGCGCCTGTCATGCCAAAACTGGCAAACAGGAAAATGAGGCCATTGGCATTGGGTCAAAAGTGAATAAACGGTAAAGTCTATTGTTTAGATGTTGATTTTTTTAATAATTTAATCGTTGTTGTTTCAGTAGTAAAATTCCATGCCGTACTTGCTTTGTGTTGTCGATTTTATTCATATATGCGAAATGTTTTTTGGGCTATGCATATATTTAACGTTAAAACTGTTAAAAAACCGTGAACGATTTTTTACTGGGGTTTTTTGCACGATACATTTTCCCAGATTAAGGCTGTGCTCGAATTATTATTTTGGTATTTGCCCCCCTTGATACCCAAACATATCGATCTTTAGCGCAACTGCAAACACAACTATTATAACATACAATATATAATAGCAATTATTATTAGCAAACGTTACTTTGGAAAAATTGGAAAATTCAATTTCAGTTTTGAAAGAACTTGCAAGCGAAATCGCTCGTTAATTAATGGAGAACATTGAGATTCAATAATACACTACAAGTATGATCACGCAGTCTTTCGCAGCATGTTCCTGTCACGAAAAAGATTAACACAGCGTAAACGTTGCCGTGCAAAACATAGTTAGCGTATACGTTGTCATACAGTGTAAAATTGCGTCAAGCTACATCCTCGAGTGAATGATTGGCGGCGTATCTTTGCCGAGTGAGTAAGTTGTGAGTTGCAGTTATTTCACAGTACCACTGCGAAAACTGCATGATATACTGAATCATGGCAGGCGCTTGTAATTATAATGTAATTGTTAAATATTAGTGTGATGTTACGGAAATTCTTGAACGTAATGACGTAGATGAGTAATTCCAGGTCAACACGTCAAGTTCAGTTTAGTTTATTTAGTTTAATAGATTTGCCACAATAGTATATGTATACTGTATATAGAGGTTCAGATTTGACTTCCAGTACCACTATCTCTAACTGGCTTAATACGCATCTGATTGGTTAATCGAATATATCAAACGCATCCGATTGGTAAATGGTTAGTTTTGTTTTGTTTATAACTAACCAACCACAGAATATTTTTCTATAGCTTCGTGATAATGGATATAGCCAAATCTGAACCACGATATATATATATATATATATATATAGATGACTTTTTTGTCTGGTTAGAAGGAGAGGACAAACTCCTGCAATTTATGTCGAGACTCAATGAATTTCATCCTAATCTCAAATTTACATACGAGTATTCGCATAATAGAGTAAATTTTCTTGATGTCGTAGTTGAAAATGCTGGTGGTAATTTCATTACAAGTTTGTTTTGTAAACCTACTGATTGCCACCAGTATCTTCATTATGATTCATCACACCCTGCACATGTTAAAAGGTCTATAGTATATAGTCAGGGTCTACGCATCAAGAAGATTTGCTCAAGAGAGGAAGACGCTGATAAACATTTGCAGGAATTGTCGGGTTGGCTGCAAAATAGAGCCTACCCAATGTGGCTTATTAGGAAAGAATTTGAGAGGTTGCAATCTTGTGATAAAGCATCTAACAAAAAAGAGAAATAGGAGTACCTTTGACAATTACGTTTCATCCTCTGTTAAAGGACTTTGGTCTTATAATCCGTAAATATATACATATAATATACTTAGATCCAGAAGCTCAGAAAGTGTTTTCGCCCGGACCATTTGTGGCATTTAAAACTGGCCGCAACTTAAAAAGTTATTTAGTTAGGGCTAAAGTACCGCCGTTAGTGAGGGAAAAGGGGTGTAAGAAATGTAAGAAAGCACGATGTTTAACGTGCAATAATATTCGAGAAACCGACAGCTTTGAGTGTTCAACGGATGGTAAACAGTACAAAGTGAACCATAGGTTGAATTGCGACTCGAAATGTGTGGTTTATCTTCTTACTTGTAAAGTCTGTAAAAACAATATGTTGGCGAAACAACAGATAAATTTAGGTACCGTTGGAATAATTATAAAGCGTGCCACAAAAAGGCAGTTAATAACGAGGCTTATACACAAATGTTTTTCCATCAACATTTCTTGGGTAATGGACATAATGGATTGATTAGTGATTGCGAGATTGTTTTAATTGATAAAACTGACCCAGCGGAACCGACCAGACGTGAGGCATTTTGGATAAGTAAACTAAAGACAATGCATCCTTCGGGATTGAACATAGAGAATGCGCAGCAATGTTAATTATAGTTAACAGGATATTGTTATTTGTATGGTAAATCACTTATATTCATATTATGTATAATTAGCAAAATTGGGAGGATATATATATACAATACAATACAATACAATACAATACAACGGCAGGAATTGGGTATATAGGACGTTATAGTCCCAATTGCTTTTAAAGCATAATTGCCAATTGAACTTATTGAATGGTTCAAACAAACAAACAAACAAACAAACAAACAAACAAACAAACAAACAAACAAACAAACAAACAAACAAACAAACAAACAAACAAACAAACAAACAAACAAACAAACTATTCAGTAAACAAACAAATCAAACTTCCACTCATCACAAAAGTCAACTCGCGCGCAAGCTCGCTGTGAGTGCTTGCATCTAATTAAAATAAACTGTCGAGCTGTGGAGCATTGTAATAGTGGAGTGAGCTTGCGAGGGACTCTTGCGATGAAAGGAAAAGAGGTTTCACATTTTTTCCCGTTTCGTGGGCTGTCTGTAGACGCAGCGTGTCGTGCAACTTCATTCCCAGACTCTTTCCATTGGCATTGGGGACAAGGTTGCGTGCCGCCAATGGTCGTGTTTTGGCTCGTGATTGGCTTCATAAAACCATAGTAACCAGTGTTTTGGCTCGTCTTTGGAAAGATTTCACTGTCTTTTGTTGTTACGATGAACCAGTCAACAAACCCGTTCATATAGGTTGGACCGTATACGATCTGCATGATTACGAACTCTTCCTATACACCATTCTAATAATGATACCATAAATATTTAAGATATTTAATAAAAATATGCGAGCAAGATATTTGCCTTTGATTCGCCTTTAAGCCATCTATAAAAACAAAAAATAGAAATCGCGTGCTTATTTTATATAATAATATTATTATTTTATTGTTGTTTAGTATTCGCCTTTTTAATATACTAATCAATCATCTTCACGTCTACTAAAACCATTGATATGTGTTAATTTTTTAAAAATAAACTAAATGAAACAATATCAGCATGAGTTGAACTACAAGTTCAATAGGAAACATGTGTGGAAAATTATAGTTGAGTATGCATATGTTATAAAAATGTCAAGAATTGTTTGTGGCTGTTTCTGTACACGCAGATTATATATGTAAAGTATAACTGTTAGTTTCATTTTGACCTTGCATGTAAATAATGTGCTCAGCAACTCGCATCGTGCATGTTGACGTTGTCGTTGCGGAAATGATTGCAACATTTTATATTTGAGAAGAAGTATAAGTTGAGTATATTTATCATCAATATAGATAATTAACACTTAAGTAGGTATATATGTTATATGAAAATACATCCCTTCCTGATTATGACAAGTCAACTAGATTGTATAATAAACACATATATAATGACTCTCGATGAAAGGTGAATTGAAACCGTAGTTCATATTGACTGTTGTTGGATAGATTATTGTGTAATTGCTGCCGAGCCTCAGCTCGGCAGCACCCTATTCTTGACGTCACCCTATTCTTGACGTCACCCTATTCTTGACGTCACCCTATTCTTGACGTTAATTATTTCAATTTTGGAACCATCTCGTAAACTACCTCTCGTCTATCCCTTTTAGACATTACCCATGCAGTGGAGATGTCGGTCCATTTCCATTTTCCAGGGGGTTCATTAAGTATATTCAAGTTCGTTTGTAAAATGAGGGGGTTGAAAGTCCAGTATTGTCACTATATTAATGTGTCTTCAATATCTCTCAACTCTCTCTGCGGTGAATCAACTAGCTCGAGCGACAATTCGTCGATACAAAGTCGAGGAATGGCTGCTATAAAGACTACTAACTATGTTTACCATGTATATTAAATATCTGGCTGAAAGACGACAGGCTATATGTAATCATTTAGTCTTGGTGTTTTGTCGTCATGGGGGATTTTGAATTGTCTGGCGTTTATAGACAGTAAATACTAAAGTAGGGCGCATTGCCAGCTAATGGGTTAATAAGAGACATTGGCAGATAGGTTTGTTAACCCATTTACGGACAATACTCTACCACTGACAAGTAAAATCGTACACAGTGTAAAATTGTCTGGCGTTGGACAGAGTTAATACTAAGGTTGGATGTATTGCCAGCTAATGGGTTTATAATAGACCTTCTTAATGCTGTTTATCCACTTTTAACCCAATGGCCTCTGATTTTTACTTCAAGAAAATGTTTGTTACCAAATAATTTTATATGAATATGCTTCATCATCTGTAATGGAAAGAAATCTTCTCGAAATTATATATTTGTCGTGAG